ATTGTTAAACCGACAGTCAGAGTATATAAAATCTACGCGAGAAAAACCTACTGGGAACTGGTTTCCATTCTTAAACATCCAAATAAAGCTCTCAGAAAGTGGCTATATAACATAATGGTATCGCTAGCCAAGTAGTAAAATTCTAGTTCACTGCCTCTCCTCTCATCCTTCACACTTTAAAAAAGCACTTATCAAAAATATGTATCGTAAGGCTAAAAATGTGTGTACAGGAGAAGAGGAAAGGAAGGAATCGCAAAGCCTGGCACGAAAAATTGCCATTTCCAATGGCTACGAAGTAGAAGCCACTCGGGTTAGAGGAAAACGTTGGGTAGTTTCCCAAAATAGTATTTCAGACGAAAGTAAGATCCCCTTTAAGCTACCCTTCATATCAAATGAAGTAAGTCACGCCATTAAAAAGTGCTTAATTTAAAAAAGTGGTCTGGAAAATTATGCAACGATTACTGACATCCCACCCAATACCCTACGCCGCCAGTTTGTTCGAAACCGTCTCTATGATCGTTCGTGCAGCTTAGAAAACTGTATAATCTGTCCCAACGGGAGAGACGGGGATTGCATGAGTTTAGGTATAATATACTTGATCTCATGTAATGCATGCGGCGAGGAATATATCGGGGAAACGGGTAGACCACCTTGTGTCCGCATAAAAGAACATCCAGATGGAAAAGCTAAAATCCGTTTAAACACCCCTCTAGGTACGCATAGGGTACAAAAGCACAACGGCGATGATTTTGAAGTGAATGTGCGGATCCTTGCGCAGGAATCGAAAACATCAACGCGCAAAACTCTTGCGACGTTTTGGATAAATTTCAAAAATCCAAAGATGAACCGGAAGAACGAATGCCTCACTATCACGCATGACCTGGCGCCCTATTTCAAAATGATATTTTGACCCGGGGGCGTGTCTTGCTCGCGACTCCACGTGAACTACGTGTGGGCCAGTCCCGCACGTAACATCACATGAGTGGCCTTTCTGTTCAATATGGCGTCTATTTGAAAGTTTGATCTTCATTAATACTTTAACCTTCTTTTCCACCGAATAATAAAAAGTATTCTAACATAAAGTACGTCCAGGCTCTGAGGAAGGCGAAGTCGCCGAAACGTCAGCCATCGATCAATAACATCAAAAACAACGACAACGGAGATCTCGATAGAAAGTCGGTCTNTAAAAGAACATCCAGATGGAAAAGCTAAAATCCGTTTAAACACCCCTCTAGGTACGCATAGGGCACAAAAGCACAACGGCGATGATTTTGAAGTGAATGTGCGGATCCTAGCGCAGGAATCAAAAACATCAGGGCGCAAAACTCTTGCGACGTTTTGGATAAATTTCAAAAATCCAAAGATGAACCGGAAGAACGAATGCCTCACTATCACGCATGACCTGGCGCCCTATTTCAAAATGATATTTTGACCCGGGGGCGTGTCTTGCTCGCGACTCCACGTGAACTACGTGTGGGCCAGTCCCGCACGTAACATCACATGAGTGGCCTTTCTGTTCAATATGGCGTCTATTTGAAAGTTTGATCTTCATTAATACTTTAACCTTCTTTTCCACCGAATAATAAAAAGTATTCTAACATAAAGTACGTCCAGGCTCTGAGGAAGGCGAAGTCGCCGAAACGTCAGCCATCGATCAATAACATCAAAAACAACGACAACGGAGATCTCGATAGAAAGTCGGTCTTTCGAGTTACTAAATGAAAGAGTAGGAATATAAGAAGATGCACAAAACGCAATAAAGGCGATGATTTACAAAAATTGTAGTTTTCACAAAGAATAATTCCTTTAAGAAAAGTGCTATGACTAAATACAATCACTTCTTCCAAGTTTTTCTTCACCACTACTCTCGTCGTCAGTTAGATAGTAATGTTATGGTACGGGATCTTGATGGAACAACGTATGCAGCTCGGTTTTGAGGAAAATACTTCTATGCTTGTTGGAAAATCGGTACCCTAACCACTGGATCCACTGAATAAAAGATAACCGATAAAAATAAAAGGATAAAGCTATCAATGTTGATCAATCCCTTTGGCATGCGCCATGCACTCGACTTCACTAAGCCTTGTTGGAAGTGAATGAATACATATCTAACCTTTAGAGTGACTCACAATGGCCTACCAATGTATCGAGACAGTGCTACTATCCTCCCAGAAAGTTCTGGTACCAGTAATTGCCGACTTCGGAGGGATGGAAGGCTTGGTGGGCCAGGGGCGCGCAAATCGATCCTACGTGTATTGCAGGGCGCCCCCGACTACTGCGCCGCACGCGCTCATTAAATAACAGGTAGAGACAAAGCCAACGAAAAAACAGCAAAAGTATGAACCTGCACTTACTTTGCATACGACTTGATGAAGCAAGTTGGTTCAACTTCTATGGACGAAAGTGGTATTCAGCTAAGCTGGCAAACGTTTCTTCTTACTAAATAATGACTTTTATTTAGGTCCCTCTAGTAAACATGAGGATCCAAGTTTTTCGAGTAGTAAAGTGAAAAAAAGTGTAACTAGAAAAATAGTAAATCATGTAAAAACTTACCGTGAACTTGTTCGCCTTTCTTTGCTGCACCAGTATCAGTTCACGTTTCATCTTCCTTATTCCTTTATGCTTTTTTTTTTCTTGGCCAAGAATTTTTCCCACCAGTTGCGCCTCTGTTCTTCGGTAATCGCCTGTCATCCTGGACTACCTTTCGTACCTAGACGTGCCAAAGGACAAACTAGTAAAGAAACTAAGAGGACCAAAGAGGAGACTGAAAAGTAACAACAGACAGCAAATAAAAAGTTAACACCATTGGCTTTTGTTTACCCAACAGTTTACCGCCTACATTATATCTTAATGCATCCTCCAAATGGTTTACCGCCTCATCGTGGCTGGGAGGTGTTCCTGAGTGTCGGCTGCGATGTACAGCGGAGAGATTCACTCCCTCGGCAGGGTTTCCCAAGATTAGAAGGAATCAGCCGCTTGCATCAGGAAGCCTAGCTAAGAGTAAACCAATACCAAGATCCACCACCGTCCTGGTATCAAACTAGTCGCATGGTGGCAAATCTCCCCTGATCCACAAAGTCAGCGACTACCTGTGATGCTGACGATCTGGAGCAGATTTTGGCTAAGGTGACCTGGAATTCCAGAGAACCACAGTGGCTAACCTAGCAAAACTCCGAAAAAATTGAGATTATGCTGCGCCCGCACAACCAGTGAGGACGGGCCATCCTAGTAAACGAGGTTTTGTGAACGTGGCAAAACACTGGTACTACGACCTCTTCAACTGATAAATTATCCAAAGAATCTTATTATCCTAGAATCCAGAACTACCTACAGAATATACACCAACAACTTCAAAATGTTAACTCACGAGTGTCGTGTTTCTGTATAAATAACAAGGCGTATTACAGACATTCACACCGACCGCAGCACTCAACGCGCGAATGTGTGGTTTTCGAATTTTCGCCCGGCGTGGGATAACAATGGCACGACGGGAGGTGTATTCCGTCTTCGATTGTGCATGGACAGACGGTATGCTTCGCTTCTAGATTAAATCTGTTCTTTTTCTCTCGTAGTAGTCTTCCCTTTCAAAGTGTCCGATTGACGTTTGCCGTCGTGTTTGCTTGTGTTATTGGACGTTTTTTAGTGTTTACTAGAAGTGACTAACTTATGGTGTACCACAACATTTCATGAAAGCAAGATATTAATTTAAAAAAATTAATTTAAATGAGGTTTTTCATGTGAAAATGAACGAAAATCTCGTACAAGTAAAGTTGGAAGTGTGCGGATACAGACCTGCGATCGACTTTATTACCATAATGAAGCTGAAGTATTTCCAGAACTCTGGACCACAGGTTTCTGGGGTGGTAATCGAACCACCTACTACTTTTTAATACACCAACAACTTTCTGTGAAAGCATTTATTCACAAATCCGTCTCTAAATTAGCCCTATGTGTGGACTGATTTGTGAGCACTTATGTAAACGTTTTTTAAGACACCGAAGGTCTCGTGAGAAGCTAAAGGGAAATGTGTCTTATTGATTTTCCATTAACGTTAAGGTTTTATTTACCTTTTCACACTATCCACAGCGGTACTAGTACGTTGTGGTGTGTCGCGTTAATTTTAAAGCGTTGCTGATTGTGTTCATAGCAGTTTTCTAGGTTTAAGCTTAGCTAGGCGTTGATCATGATTGAAGCGGAGTTCATCCGAGTGACGGCACGTGTGCGTCCGCCTTCAACCTCAGAAGATCGAATCGTCAGCGTTCGTGATGAGAGAAGTCTGTGGTGAGTTAATTATTTGGGACATTTTTCCTTGATTGCCGCTATTCGAGTTTGGCTACAGTTTCAATCCGTGGAACCCGAAAATATTCGTATTTGACTCGGTTTTTGGCGAAGACGTCACACAGGTTAGAGATTTGAAGCATAATGTCGTATTATTTTGTTTCTTCTAAGAACTACACATCATTTCAGGCCGAAGTTTTTGAAGACATAGGGACCCGTATAGTTGATGGTTGTGTGGATGGATACAATGGAACGATCATCGCATACGGTAAACCTTGTGGATTCTTGTGGGAGCGGCAGCTCCTTCGGTGCACTGCCTGCATGGGCAGTCCGGGAGTGTTGGTTTCGGGGTAGACCATCATCAACGGCTGTTATTCCTGCATCTGATTTTTGTGGTATTTCAGGTCAGACTGGTTCGGGCAAGACGCATACGATGTTCGGACCTGCGAATGTCGAGAACTGCCTTCTCGATAGTCAGAATCGTGGGCTGATGCCACGAGCCTGTGACGCCCTATTTAAGAAATTGTGTGCAAGGGCTGCAGAGGTGAAAGAACATCTCGGAAGGCTATTTTAAATACACCCATATCTTCATTTTCAAATGGGTGTGCGTGACGCAGTGGTCGGAGGCGTCCCGTCCCGATCCCCGCGCCCATCGTCCACCAAGGTCTCCATCCCTCCAGGGTCAGCAAACTGGTACCAGACTTTTCTGGGAGGATAGTAGCACTGGCTCGATACATCGGTAGACCACTGCTAGTCAATGTAAAGGCCTGATATGCATTCAGTCACCTCCAAACGATGTTTATTGAAGTCGAATGCATGGCGCATCACTCAGGGATTGATCAACAGCTTTGTCCTTTATCCTTTATATCTTCATTTTCAGAAAGGCCAAGGCTTCAACTACGAAGTTTTCTGCCGATTCATTGAGTTATACAATGAGGAGTTCTACGACTTACTGAGTCACCGTCAACAAAAACTGTCGATTCGAAGTGACTCAAAGGTAACAGTAGAATAACGGTTTCATAATGGCAAATTATTAAATGTTTTTGCAGAGCGTTCAATTGCTTGGTGTCTCAGAACACAGAGTTCAGTCCAGTACTGACATGATGCGGGTCGGTTTTTAGATCTTTTTCCAATTTTAAACATTGGTGACTTTGGTGCAAATAAAAACATTCCAGGTTCTCGAAATCGGATGGGAAGCCAGACATACGGCTGAAACGGCAATGAGTCGGGAGTCATCACGATCGCATTGTATTTTCAGTGTGGATGTTAGTTATTGATCCTGACGTTATGATTTGTTATCCAAATCTACCGTGATCACTGGCATATACTTACATTTTTAGGTGAATACCGAGGAACTAGTGAACAACATTGTAAATAAAAGATGTGCTACCTTAAACCTTGTGGATCTGGCAGGATCGGAGAGGCAGACACAATCAAAAGCTTTCGGCGACCGATTCAGAGAGGCTATAAACATCAATTCGGTAAACGGCTTTCTTAGCTGGGGTCAAGACTGACATTGATTATTATTTATTTCAGTCATTGGTTGTTCTTGGCCGGGTTATACGAACGCTATCAGATGTAAATCGTCGTGGTGAGCATATACCGTATCGCGATTCGAAATTGACCCATATTTTGCGAGACTCATTAGGAGGTAACAGCAGGACAGCTGTCATCGTGAATGTCCACCCTGACATCGGGTAGGTTCCGAAGCATATATTGTTGTGCTTATGGTTCGATCCATTACGGAACATTATTGGCCTGTATTAATAGTGGACCGCTACTAGTTCCTAATATTAATCAATAGTTATTAATATTTGTGAAAATGCAATTTCTCCCAACGGTTTACCGCCTCATCTTGGCTGGGAGGTGTTCCTGGGTGTCGGGCTGCGATGAACAGCGAGGGATCCCCTCGGCTGGGTCTCCTAAACTGAGAAGTCCATCGTTTCCACAACGAAGCCTGGTTAAGAGTAAACTAATACCGGGATCCACCAACGTCCTGGTATCAGACTAGTCGTATGGTGGCGTGGCAAATTCCTTGTGATCCGCAGGAGCGGTGACTGACTGGTTGTGGTGATGACGACCTGGGCAGACTTCGGCCAGGCTGACCTCGGGGCTTGGGGTAATACAATGCCTGAACCAGCAAAACTCCGAGAAAATGGGGATGATGCTGGAGCCCTCACAACCAGTGAGGATGGGTCGTCCAAGTTTCCAAGTATTACAGGAAGATCTATAAGGTAGTATAGATTATGGCATTTTTTCATTTAGATTACGTGAATTTATTACAGCTATTATTCGGACACGATTTCGGCGTTGCAGTTCGCCGCGGATTGTAGAAAAATTGAAAATCGTGTATGTGCTAACGAGGACTTAGCGGCTGACACAGTGATGGCGTACAAGTGCGAGATTGCCCGTCTTCGTGAAGAACTTCGTCTTGTTGAGAAGACTCATTCAGGTGTCTTCATATCACTTATGTACTTGAATTACGAATTCATCCTACACCAAATGTAAGGTGCTAGATGCGAATTATTGTTCACACCTTCAGAATTAGGGTCAGAAATGTCAGCGCTTCAAGAAGAGCTGAAGAATTGGAAAGAAACGGCAATTTCACGAGAGAAGGCACTTAATGAAGCGCAAATGCAATGCGATCAACTCAACGCGCAGCTTACGAGCCAAACAAATCGAGAAGTTGGCACCCAGAAGGTGCGTATTTTCGGGATCGTTACAGGTTCTTCGCTCTTTTCTGCCCAAATGCGGGCGGAGACAAGACATTTGAAGTCGAACTATACTGTATATGTTGAAAAACTTACCACCAAAGTATGATATTAGTATAATTAGGCGCTCGACGGTGCCTTTTCTCATTATGTGAATACTATTAGAATTACAACCACAATGTTGCTGACATTTTCGCAAAACTTGGCCCCCAGGCCAGACTGGAACCTGCGTTTACTTATTTTGGAGCTCACATGTTAGGCACTCTACCACTGAAGCCATTGCTTTGCCTTTCTCTTAGCCAGTTTTTTGCGCTAATGGTGCGACCGGCAATTATACGCCAATTGGAATGATCTGAGGAGCACAAGTCTGTGCTAGACCAAGTTAAGCTGAGGCGGCATTCTTATAGTTACTTGGATACCTGGACAGGCTTTCTTCACTGAGTGTTCGATCCACAGCATAATTTGTTTTCTTTTCTCTTTCGCGCATCGGTCATCGTCCATTTTGATGGTCCATTTCGACCTTCCGTAATCCTAAAGTCGATTCCATCTGCGAGCGCGGATCGTTCACGTTGGCCCAATAACACGTCCGAGCACTTGTTTTCATTTGGAGTCAGTCCACCGTTTTCGTCCAACTGTCATCTGTTCTTCTTATTATTTCGCTTGCTCATTGGTGTTTTGCTATGGATGTGTATTTTCCTGAATCACGAAGATGGGACAGCCTTCGATGATTTGAGCTACGAATTCCAGCTAGACGTTGTGTGGGCCGGTCAAATTTCAGAAGACAATGTTCAAATGATTTATGGGCGGTGCGCAGAATTCTTGACGTGGTTGAGGTATGGTCTCACGTTTGCGCAGCATAACAGAGCACTAGGAGCACTATTGAGTCGAAAAGGTGAGTGAGGAGTTTTATGTTCGTTAGTTGATTGGTGGTTTCTTTGACTAGCTCGAATGCGGCCCATAATCTTTTCTTCTTTTCTCTAACTCCTATGTATTGCTCTCTTTTTTCACTGAACGTTCGAGGTACACGTACAAAGCATTCTTTGTAGTCAGAGAACCATCCAGTTCAGTTTGTTTACCTTCGCACTGTGAGTTCCTCTTGGTCTGGGTCTTCGTCCTATTGATGCGCAGTACAATCCTTTTTCCCGCTTCATTGAATTCATTCAGCATCTTCTCTTCTTCACTGGTACTTCTCGAAAAAGTGGCAATATCGTACACGAAACGAAGTTTTGATGGGAGCAGCAGTAAACACTTTTGGCGACATTGTATCACTTTATCGAAACTTTTTTCCTAGGGATGTGTTGAACACTCGATGAAAAGCTGTACATTTATGCTAGAGTACCGATAAAGGCTGCTTGTGCTCGTATATAGGCAAAGGGTATTCGTTGGTGTGTCGCATAGCATTCCGGAAAGGATGGTCGCGGATAAGAAATGCACCTGAGGTTCTGAGTTTTCTTCATATTTTCAACATCCTTATGGTTGTATTTCACGTATTACCTTGCCATGGAAAAAGAATAGGCGATAAGTAGAAGTGAAGACATTGGTGGTGGATGTTTTCTTTAATATGCTAGAGTTGACCGGTCTCTTCGTAAAAGATAGACTGATAAGTAATGGGATAGATAATTCATTCGTTATCGTATACAGTTAATTCTTTTATTATCGGTTGCATGATGAAGTGGTGCGCGATATTTTATCACAACTTTGGAAGAGAATTGAGTCAGTGAATACACTTGAAGAGCTTACAAAAGTCCAACTTAAAAACGACCTATCAAGCGTTAGTAGTTTGATGACTTTTTTTTTCTTTGTAAAGTTTACGATTTTTGTGTTCTATACATTATTTTGCCTCCGAACGCTTTACTGCCTTATCGTGGCTAGGGGTGTTCCTGGGTGTCGGACTGCGCCGTACAGCGGTTCACCCCTGGCAAGGTCTTCCAGGTTGAGAAAGAGTCCGACGTTTTCAATCAGGAAGCTCAGCTAAGAATAAACCGATACCAGGATCCACCACGGTCCTGATATCAAACTGTTCGCATGGTGACAAATTCTCCCCTTACCCACAAGGTCGGCGACTGCCTGTTGTGGTGACGACCTGGGGCGGACTTTAGCCTTGCTGGCGTCTTGACTCCACGGAACCACAATGGCTAAACCAAAAAATTCTTCATTGAGTAGAATGTCCTCGTTCTCCTCAACTACCCATATTAGTCGAGTCGTTTATATTTCCCACATATGGGTTCTATTTCATAAGGACACTGCCGACTATATAAAAAACTAAATAATCTACAGCAATTCAGTTCAGCAGAACTCAGAGAAAATCCAGGTAAACAGTGTTGTACATTTTAAAATTTTTCTAATTCTGTTCAGCAAACACGAGGTGCTATTTTATTTCTTTATTTACGCACAAGCTGACGTTTCGGCGGATTTCGCCTTCCTCAGAGCCTGGAAGGGTTAAGTTGACAGCAATCCTTTCGGCCAAACACCTCCATAACCAAACCGAGAAAACTCTAAACCAAGATTTCAATCACATTTAGCATAGCTCTGCACACTCACCGCTTTCTATGAGTCTTCCACTGAGTATGTCGCGTGAAGACCGACCGCACAGAATTCACGTGGAAGCGTAATGTGCCCCTCCCATCAGAATAACAGGCTCATATACTGTCCAATATCACGCGTGATAACGAGGCATTCCTCCCTACGGTTCATTTTCGGATTGTTGGAATTAATCCAGAATGCCTCTAGAGTTTTGCGCTCTTGTGTTCTCGATTCTTGCGCGAGGATCGTAACCCTTACTTCAAAATCTTCGTTATGTTTCTGCGTGCTATGCGTACCTAGTGGAGTACTTGGCTTACGTTTGCCGACTAGGTGTTCTTTTATACGTACGCAGAGTGGTCTACCCGTTTCGCCAACGTATTCGTCCCCGCACGCTTTACAAGAGATCAGTTAGACTGTACCCGAATTCATGCAGTCACCGTCTCTACCATTGGGGCATATTATGCAATTTTGCGTTGCACATAGACGGTCGTATAGGCGGTTACGAACTAGCTGGCGCCTTAGATTACTCGGTGGTATTTCGATTATCGTTACCGAATTCTCTAGACTGGCCCTTCTTAAACAGCGTTTTATAGCTGCACTTACTTCATTTGAAATGAAGGGCAGTATAAACGGGACCTTGTTGTCGCTAGAGTTGTCGTTGGGGTACCTGTGGTTTCCTCTACACCTATCTCGAGCTATGGTTTCGTAGTCATTAAAAATGGCTATTTGCCGCGCCAAGTTCCAGGACTCATCTCTCTGTTGTCTTCCTGTCCACACGCTGGTAGCTGTTCGATACATGTTTCTCACAAGCGCCCTTTTCGTGTGAGAGGGATGAGAGGAGAGGTAATTAACTAGGATGTTTTTACTACTTGGTTTTCGATACCACTTCGTAATTTAGCCGTTTTCTGATAGGCTAATTTGCACGTTCAGAAATGGAAGCCAGTTTTCTTTTGGTTTTTCTCGGGTGAATTTAATATACTCTGACTGTGTGTTCAACAACTCGAAACATCTGCCGATTTCTTGCGCTGAACAAATGACCAAGCAGTCATCTATATATCTACAGTGGAGTAACGGACCGAGGTCGATTACTGGCGCTTCCACCGTAGACATGAATGCAATGGCAAGGCTTGGTGCCAGTCGTTGTCCCATTGTCAGCCTTCTCATTTGTGCGTAATACCTCCCGGACCATCTGAAGATTGAGCAGTTTAGGCACGCCTTTAAGAGTTTCATCAACTGCTAATTCAAGAAGCCGTACATGTTTATTGCTCCTTCGTGTTGTATAAGGAGCTCGTTTATGACTTGCATAGCGGAGTCATTCGACACGTTCGTATAGAGGGCAGTAACGTCGAAGGACTCCACCACGTACGCGCTGTTGGGTCGCGCGTTACGTAGACGATCCAGGAACATTTGGGTGTTCGTTAGATGAGCTGGAATGTACTTCAACAACTAAGTAAGTATTAGGGTTGTTAACCACGTTATTCTATCCGTTGGCCCGTCCACGCAGCTAATGATAGGTCTAACCTTAAATAACGATGGATCGGTAGACACGAGATCATCGCTGGATACTAACTTATGGGTTTTGATAAGTAAGTATAGGACGGGACATGTTGGTAAGTTAATTTTGGGAGAGAGATAACTGATGGTTTTAACCCAGCCGCTCTTGCCACTTTAACCCATTCGTTGTTTAACTTTCGGTATTGGCTTTTAAATTCCTTCTCAGACGACGGACGATAAAGGGAAGCATCTTTAAGGTGCTTTTCCGTTATCTCAACATCTAACTGATGGGGAATTACAACGAACTCTCCACCCTTATCACTAACCGATAGTCTTATGTTTTTTGATATTATCAGCTCTCGTACCTCCAGCATACCACGTTTTTGTATTTCAGTGATGTTGGAGCAGTATCTTTTAGCGCGATAGTGATTAAGGACTTTGAAAGTTTCGTTCGTAAAGATCCGAAATTTAACATCAACTTCATTAATGGGTTCTTGTTGTCTAAAGAACAGTTGAGAAAATGCTGGTACTGGTATTGCCCCTAGTTTTTGTTGTTCGTGCCTATTTTGCGCTTCATCCTTAGCTTTTTTGCGGAGTCCATCTTGAAGTTCATGTAAACTACATGCGACGCTACGCAAGGTCACTTTAGAAATGGGTTCAGATGGTGAGAAACTTGGTCCCAATTCTAATAACGAGCGCACACTGTCAGAGAGGTTTATGCCTCCTAACACGCTCAACCTTGAATTTCTTTGCACATTATTTATCCTACTGTGGATCGTTTGATCTTCGTTGGCGGTGTTTCTGTGTGCTTTTGAAGCCGTGTTATGCGATTGAAAAAAACGAAAAAGAAACTGCGAGGAACTCGGTTTTGAAATTTGTTTAACTTGCTGCTGTAAATAATTCATATAGGCTCGAAGCGAACTCGATCGGTTGCAACTCCGGTACGAATCTGCAGAAGCGACTAGAAAAGCTCTCAACGAGAAATGCAATAATTTCCTTGAGCAATGTAACGAAACATTTCTCGAAACTCCACATCGTCGTCTTAATCTTAATATGGTACGCTTTGTAGATTATTTAGTTTTTTATGTAACAAGCAGTCTCCTTATGAAATAGAACCCATATGTGGGAAATGTAAGCGACTCAACTAATACAGGTAGTTGAGGAGTACAAGGACATTCTACTCAATGAAGAATTTTTTCTCATATCTCTGTCTGTGACGCATGTGTCGCGGTGATCGAAGGCACCCTGCAATACACATAGGGTCGACCCCTAAGCCCGTTGCTCACCGAGCCTCTCATTCCTCCGAGGTCGGCAAATTGGTACCAAATCTGTCTGGGAGGATTGCAGCGCTGGCTCGATACATCGGGAGGCCACCGCGAGTTATCGTAAAGGCCAGATGTGAATTCAATCACCTCCATGGATGCTTAATGAAGTCGCATGTATGGTGCATCCCTCAGGGATTGATCAACGCCGAGAGCTTTATCCTTTTTTATTTTACATATGTCTTGGTAAATCTTTGATAATGCTAGCTTTTTCTTACAGCAGTTTACTTCAGTGCCACTTCAACATTTCTCAAATTCTTACTACTCGCGTTGTAGATGAGAAAAATATGCCCAGCTCTTAGTGTTTCTAGACGCATGTGCACGGCAAGAATGCGAAAACTCCAGCTCGGCGAAGAGAGGAACGTCGCCAGAGCTTCTACATACCTGTTTTTGGTAATCATGATGGAACATCGCGGGTATTCAGACCAGTTCTTTTTGGGGAGAACGAAGAAAGTGGTGCACAAATTCAAGGAGTGAGTTATATTTGTTTTCCAATATGTTCTCACATTCGATTTTGACTAGTTGAAGATAGAACATGACGAAAATGTGATAGAAGAACGAAGACTTCTTCTTTTGGAGATCGACAATAACAGGCTGTCCCAGGTTGTCTTGGAAAAAGAAGCTGCTCTTAAGGACATTTGCGATAAGCAGAAGAGTCGGTCGAAGCAATGGCTCGAGGAGAAGACGTTATTTGTTCAAAAGTTTGGTTTGCTATGGTATTTTTTTCGCAAAGATACGCAGGGTGTTGGAGTTTTTCAGTGAATCTTTGTTGAGCGCACGCATAGGAGGCCTGCAAGTAGAACAACAGGCACGCTTGGAAGAGGTTAAGAAATTGCAAGAGCAAATAGAGCTGCTGAGCGATAGTATTTCTTCATGTAACGACGAGGTGAGTATGTACATTGGGCGGTCTTGTTTGTGACAATATATAATTATGTGCTGGATTCAGAAATGCCTCTTAGAGCAGTCAGCTAAGAGTCTACATTCCGATAAACTCGATCTTGAGGATAAATTTCAAGGTCCCTTCTTTCTTGAATATATTTCACTGTGTACATTAATAGCAACTACATTTGTAATTCTTTAGGAATGCAAAATGAAAGTGAACGGCTTTTAGCGGAGCTGAGAGGCAAACCCGAATTGGTCAGTCTTTTCCACCTAACATCGCGTGTTTTCGTAAACGTTTAGATTTTTAAGTTGGGCACTTTTTGGGTTTTTCAGTTGAAAACGTCTTGAATGTCATTTGTTTTTGTGCTGCTGATAGTTTGGCGAAGTGGCGGTAAGAAATTATTAGGCTGTTTGTTTTCTTTTGTGCTTCGTATCTTCTTTGCATGTCTTATTAACCATTGCGTCCCTTTATAATAAATATGTTGCTTTTCGAACTTGAATTTTAAATCCATATTTCTCAGTGCTTATTATTTCTTTTACAAACTTACACGAGATTCATATATAATCTTTACTCATCTAACGTTTCGACGGTTTCATCTTCATAAAAGCCGATGATCCTAGTCGATGGTCCCGGCTCGTGATATATAATCTTTATTCGGCTAACGTTTCGATGGTTTCGTCTTCGTCAGACTCGGATCATCGGCATTGACGAAGACGAAACCGTCGAAACGTTAACCGAATAAAGGTTATATATGAGCCACATGTAAGCTTATCAAAAGAGGAATACATATTGATTAGTAATAGCGAGTTAAAGAAAAGTCAGTGTTGAAATAATGTTACGCTCCATGTTTCTCAGTTCATTCTAAACTTTATTAGTAGAAATACAAAGCATCTGCACACTTTCGCCAATGATGTCCCTACTTCTTTTATTCTATCACGATAAACTTCTTAACTTTGAAACCAGCGAATTTCCTATATGCATTTTAATCTGCGGTGTTGTACTGGAAGGGGCAGTGTTTAGGTTTTTCTAATTATGTTGACTTTGATAATGCTAATTGTACAAAGTGATGTATGGCTTCATCGCACCGCAATTGGGAACCTTTCTCCATTGTCGACAGTACACGTTGACATTCTTGGGACTAGCTGATATCTTCACTCTATTTTGAGGTTGCAATGTTTCCTGCAAGTTTAAAGGAGTCGTATTTTAGAGTTCCATTTACCATGCAGTATCTTAATCTCGTTATCGAATATACCTTTCATTGTACAATATGCTTATTAGACGAATCGTCTTTGTTGTTCGGATTAACAGCAGATTTCTTAGCGAACCTCCTAGCTCTTCGTTGAAGTCGTACGACGTCCCTAAAGAGCTTTTCGCTCTCCTGTTCACTTATGCTGAGATACTGTAGCTCTGCCCACGTCCATCCCATCTATATGATTTCGAATCGTTTTCCTTGAATCTGCTCAAATTAATATTTTCGCGTGGTTTTCTTCGATATGGGCTGGTCGCCACCGACTTTGTTGGTAAATCTGGTTTTGATATTGCAAACGTTTTCCGCCATTTTATGTTGTAAGTTTCTGCAGAAAATCGCTGGAACTTCCACTTTTCGAACCTTTGTTCCTATAGCAAATAAGAACGGTATTTTTTTTACAGCTTAGATGACAAAGATTACGATGTTCACCAAATGAACATGCTTGTTTCATAATTGTAGGAGTGTAGTTTTCCGCATACGAATGTTCGCCCTCACATTTCTCTTGGTTGAAATTTGTATGACTGGTGGCGTGTGTGACGTAGTGCTCGGAGGCACCCTGCAATAAACACATTTGATCGATCTCCACGTCTATGGCCCACTAAGCCTTCCATCTCTCTGGAGTGGGCAAATTGGTGCTAGACTTGTTTGGGAGGATAACAGCACTGACTCGATGCATCGGTAGGTCACCGCGAGTCATTGTAAAAGGCCAGGTATGCATTCAATCACCGACGATGGTAAATGTAGTCGAATACATGGTTCATCCTTCAGGGATTGATCAACGCCGTGAGCTATCCTTTTTATCCTGTACATTTTTATCTTATGAGTAATTTGCTCTAAAATGTGACTCACTACCAAGCTAAATCTTGTCATGCATTTTATTTCAGCGATATCATTGCTATAGCATCAGTTTAGGAGACTGACATTACTGAACTTCGACTGAAACTTAGCGCTGCACAACAAGATAACTATAGTCTTCGAATCAGAAACGAAGCCGTGGAGAAGGAACGTCATTCAGATTTAGTATGTCTCCAATATCTATAACATACTTTTGCAAGGAGACATATCTTTTGTATTTGCAGCCGCAAAAAAGACACTTTTTTCAATTCAGATGTCCTTGGAGAGAATGGAGTACAGACTTCGTCAAGTTCTTGCATCTCTTCGTAAGACGGAACGAGAAAAGAATGAACTTATGGAACACTGTGAAGACTTGAAGGTGGGGTTGTTGCAACCATCTAACCTTTTTATTACAGTTATTCTTTTATTTTAATCAAATTTCTTTCTATTTCCCACGTCCGACTTTCTATTAACCTCAGCATTGATTGAACAATTCTTTCCACTTCTGCTCAGCAAACACGAGGTGCTATTCCACTTCCCCACTCACGTAAAAGCCGACGTTTCGGCGGATTTCGCCTTCCTCAGAGCCTGGAAAGGTCAAGTTGACAGCAATCTATTCGGCCAAACACCTTTACAAACAAACAGAGAAAACGCTAAACCAAGATTTCAATCACATTTAACACAGCTCTGCACACTCAACGCTTTCTATGAGTCTTCCATTGAGTATGTTGTGTGAAGACCAACCGCACAGAATTCACCTCGAAGCGCAATGTGCCCCTCCCATCAGAATAACAGGTTTATATACTGCCCTATATCACGCGTGATAATGAGGCATACTTTCCTACGGTTAATTTTCGGATTTCTGGAATTAATCCAGAACGCCTCGAGAGTTTTGCGCGTTTGTGTTCTTTATTCTTGCGCAAGGATCGTGACACGTACTTCAAAGTCCTCCCCGTTATGTCACTGAGTCCTATGCGTGCCTAGCGCTGTATTTGGTTTATGTTTGCCGGTTAGGTGCTCCTTTATGCGGACACAGAGGGGTCTGCCCGTTTCGCCAATGTATTCGTCTCCGCACGCCTTACAGGAGATCAGATAAACTGTACCCGAGCTCATGCAATCACCGTCTTTACCATTGGGGCAAATTATGCAATTTTGCGTTGCACATAGACAGTCATATAGGCGGTAAGGAACTAGCTGGCGCCTAGGATTACTCGGTGACATTTCAGCTATCGTTACCGAATTCTCTAGACCCGCCCGTCTTGCACTTTTTGTCCTAGAGTTGTCGTTTGGGGGCCTCCGATTTCCCCTACACCTATCCCGAGCTATAGTTTCATAGCCATTAGAAATGGCTATTTACCGTTGGAAGTTCCTGGACTCCTCTCTCTGCTCTCTTTCCGTGCACACGTTGGTTGCTCTTTGAAGCATGTTTCTTACAAGCGCTTTTTTCGTGTGAAAGGGGTGAGAAGAGAGGTAACGTACCAAGGTGTGTTTACTACTTGGCTTTCGATACCACTTCGTAATTTAGCCGTTTTCTGATAGGCTAATTTGCACGTTCAGAAATAGAAGCCAGTCTTCTTTTGGTTTTTCTCGGGTAAATTTAATATACTCTGACTGTGTGTTCAACAACTGGAAACGCTTGTCCATTTCCTCTTGTGTTGAGCAAAGGGCAAAGCAGTCGTCTACATACCTACAGTAGAGTAGCGGCCCGAGATCAATCACCGGTGCTTCCACCTTAGACATAAACGTAATGGCAAGGCTTGGACCCAGTCGTTGTCCCATTGCGAACCCTCTTATTTGAGCGTAGTACTTTCCGGACCATCTGAAGATTGAAAAGCTCAAGCATTCTTTTAAGAGCGCCATCAACTGCTCTATCTTGAAGCCATACATGTTTATTTCTCTTTCGTATTGTAGAAGGAGTTCGAATATGGCTTGCATTGCGGAGTCATTCGACACATTTGTATAAAGGGCGGCAACGTCGAAGGTCTCCATCACATAAGCGCTGCTGGGCTGCGCAGTACGTAGACGATCCAGAAACATTTGGGTATTCGTAAGATTGGCTGGAATGTGTTTCAACGGCTGGTTAAATATTAGGGTTAAAAACCATGTTATCCTGTCCGTTGGCCCGTCTACACAGCTAATGATAGGTCTAACCTTAAATAACGATGGATCGGTAGACGCAAGATCATTGCTGGATACTAACTTGTGGGTTTTTATAAGCAAGTACAATACGGGACATGTTGGTAAGTCAATTTTTAGTTGAGAGATAACTGATGGTTTTAAACCAGCAGCCCTTGCCACCATTTTGGCCCAATCGTGGTTCAGTTTTCGGTATTTACTTTTAAACTCCTCAGATGATGGGCGATAAAGCGAAACATCTTCAAGATGCTTTTTCGTTATCTCAACATCCAACTGTTGGAGAATTACGACAAACCCTCCCCCTTATCACTAACGGATAGTCTTATATTTTTCAACCTTATCAGCTCTAACCTCTCGCATACCTCGTTTTTGCACTGGAGTGAGGTTTCAGCTGTATCTTTTCGCGCGATAGTGATTAAGGACTTTGAGAGTTTCATTCGTAAACGTCCGAAATTTAACATCAACTTCATTATTGGGCTCTTGTTGTCTAAAAAACGCCTGAGGAAATGGTGCTATTGGTAGAGCCCCCACTTGGTGATGTTCACACCTATTCCTACGTAGTTGAAATGCCACCGAGTAATCTTAGGCGCCAGCTAGTTCCTTACCGCCTATATGACTGTCTATGTGCAACGCAAAATTGCATAATTTGCCCCAATGGTAAAGACGGTGACTGCATGAGCTCGGGTACAGTTTATCGGATCTCCTGTAAGGCGCGCGGAGACGAATACATTGGCGAAACGGGCAGACCCCTCTGTGTCCGCATAAAGGAGCACCTAACCGGCAAACATAAACCAAATACAGCGCTAGGCACGCATAGGACTCAGTGACATAACGGGAGGACTTTAAAGTACGTGTCACGATCCTTGCGCAAGAATAAAGAACACGAACGCGCAAAACTCTCGAGGGGTTCTGGATTAATTCCAGAAATCCGAAAATAAACCGCAGGGAAGAATGCATCATTATCACGCGTGATATAGAGCAGTATATAAACCTGTTATTCTGATGGGAGGGGCACATTGCACTTCGAGGTGAATTCTGTGCAGTTGGTCTTCACACAACATATTCAGTGGAAGACTCATAGAAAGCGGTGAGTATGCAAAGACTGTGTTCAATGTGATTGAAATCTTGGTTCGACGTTTTCTCTGTTTGTTTATAAAGGTGTTTGGCCGAATAGGTTGCTGTCGACGTGACCTTTCCAGGTTCTGAGGAAGGCGAAATCCGCAGAAACGTCAGCTTTTACGTGAGTGGGGAAGTGGAAGAGCACCTCGTGTTTGCTGAGCAGAAGTGGAAAGAATTGTTCTTTCTATTTCTCCATTTGGTCATGGTTTTCTCGTACTTTTATTCTACAGTTGCTTTTACAATTGTTTTGTTATTGTTTGTTGTTCTGCAATCGATTATGTTTGGATTTGAAGTGTTGTCGATTTTATAGAGAGAACATGTCGGGCTTGAAGAGTATTGTGCGATTATGAATACGAAATTTGACAAAGAAATCGAGTGGTTGAAAAAGATGTAATATTTTGTTTCTGTTTTATATTAGAAATCCTGGGACATTGAATAATATATCTGTTCTAGGCACGCAGAGGAGTTATATTGCAAAGAAAAGACTATTGAGCTGGAGCAGAATTATCACGAGAAGACAAGGGTAAGTTTAGATTTTTTTTTTTTGTTTGTTCTACAGGCCAGTCACTTTCATCTTTTACATTCTCGACCACGTACGACACCAATCACTTGTTTTACCTGTCGTCCTTTTGATCATCAAGTAAATCGAACAGGTGCCAGTAAATCTTCCATTTCTCCCTTTCTCGTGCAGGATTAACCCAGCAGATTCTATTCGCTCTAGGGACTCGTTGAGCACCACAGCTTTCTTCAAGGGCGTTTGTGAAGAACTCCGACCATTGAATCGGTGGTCTTCCCGCATTTCGTTTGATATTCTGACGAATTTTTCAAAGACGTCTCTTTTCCATCGGTTACCCTTCAGACACATTAGGTATCCGGCTTGCTTTATCCTCAGCAGTTTGGAGCGTAGAACGCTGTCTTCGATTTAATCGTTGACATAGATCGAAGCTTCGGATCCCTTCCCTCACTTGCGTGAGATGGGACAATCCTAGCATCGTCCTTTCGATTGCGCGTTCAATAACGCTGAGTGATCTTTCATCCGGTCTACGTAGTGAACAGATTTCTCGTGCATGTGTATGTCGAGGATGGAGTGGTCGTGGAGTCGAAGAGATGGGCCTGGAGTCGGGTGTTTTTGCTCTCTTCACTATGTCCTCGATGCTCTTAAAGCTCGCAAAGCCGCTCTTTTCCTTCTGCTCAGCTCTGGAGTTTGGTCGTTCGTCATATTGATTTCCCGACCTGGATAGATATAACTGGAGCATTCGGAGGTATTCGTTCCGTTGAGCCTGAATGGGGCATACGAAACCAAAGCATTCATCATGAACATCGTTTTTGTGAGATTTGGTCGAAGATCAATTTCCGCAGGCCTTATCAAACTTGACAAGCATTCGTTCCACTTGGCTAATATTTGGTGTAATAAGAACGGTGCCATCAGCAAAGCGAAGATATGTGTGAACATGATTGTGTATATGAAAGGTATGAGATAATCCGATTAATTGTAAACGGGATGAATAGATTGTTTAGGGACAAATACCTAATTGCTTACGGTCCACATTTTTAACGTCATATTCCGACAAATGTTCCCATCCTTTTGAGATGTATTACTCTAATATCGTTTACTTTATTTTTAAGCAGCAGTTCTTCTTATATCAGGAAGCTGTACAAAAAATTTTCGATCGTAAATTGGCAGCCTTACAGCAGTACGTACTTTAAGTTTTTTTGCTACTGATTTTTAAATGCCTTGGTTTTAATAGTACTCTATCACCTATTATTATAGCGACTATTCTAACAAGGAAAAGCATTTGACCATGGACATGAATGAAAACGATCAGCAGATAGTTCAACTGCGTGCCGAAAAAGAACTGTAAGTTCTTAGTTGCTTTAGTTTGAATTCGTGCCATCGTCAAAAGCATGTAGTTGCTCACAATGTATTCATGAAGCGAGTAGTAAACGTCTAAGGACTTTACAGACTACTTACTAAATTCAGTGGTGTGGAAGAAGTAAAACAAGAAGCAGCACACAACAAAGGAGAGCTTGATGAAGCAACGAGGGTTATTTAAATTTGTCATCTCACCTTTAACTCTGCAACCATGTAGCCAGTGAATAACATTTACCACTGTTAAGGGACTAACGTTGCTGTGTGAAGAGAAGACAAAAGCTAACCGCGCTGTGACTGAACTCGCCTTTCGCAACAGTTACAAGCAAAAGGTAGCTTATTGAAATTTTAAAGGACAATATAACATAAATGTCACATTACTTTACTTTAATACTTGGATGACCCATCTTCAGTGATTGTGCGGGCCCCAGCATAATTTCCATCCTTCGGAGATTTGCTGGTTTAGCCATTGCGGTTCCATGGAGTCTCGAGAAGAGTTTGGCCAGAGTTCGCCCTAGGTCATCACCACCACAGTCAGTCGACGCCCCTTGATTGATTAGTGAGAAATTTGCCACCATGCGTCTAGTTTGATACCAGCATGGTGGTGGATCCTAGCATTGGTTAACTCTTACCTGGGTTTGCTATAATAGAAACGCCGAACTCCTCAGCTTGGAAGACCCTGCCGAGGGAATGAATGGTCCCGCAGTACATCGCATTCCGACATCCAGGAAGACCTCCTAACCACGATGACCGTTGGGTGTAGTTTTACATTGTTTATAATAATGCTAAGTACCTGTATATTGTTGTAAGAAATGTTTTGAAGATGCAAGCGTTTTTTTTCCACATTTCTTGTGAATGTCAAGGCAGCAAAATAGCTTCTCAATAATGTGTAAGATGCCTTCGAATTTTAGCGGGGTTTTTTGTCATTGAACGGGTTAGGTAGCCTAGGCTTAACGATTTTCCTTATCATAGTAAAAGGAAAAAACTCGATGTCGTTTTTCGTAAATTGATGACTTCGATTTCGTTCTGTTAGTTTGTAAGTATATGTCTTATGTGGAGCTTAAAAAAAAATTCATGGCGCAATGCAATAATACTTACCAGTATATGCCTTCATCCCTTTTTGTAAGTCAATTACTTTAAGAAAGTCCGTTACGAGAATCACATTTTGGAGGAGCGAAATAATGAACTAGAGCCGGGAACGAAACGCTACCGAGGTGCAGAGGGAAGAACGGAGCCGGGGCCGTCAAAATCCGGAGTCGCAACGAGATCTACAGCTCATATTGGAACGAAGTGACTCTGTTTTGTTAAAATCCAGAGTTTTCCTTATGTTCGGATTCCGATCTTCTGAATATGATTTTATCGCACATATCGACTTTGATTTGCGGGTACGTTGTTATAAATAAGGACAAAATTTTCGATTTGATCTCCCGGTATTGCTGTTTTTTTTTCGATAATATCAAGTATAGTTCATGTAGGTTTTGAAGAAATTTCATTGCAATTATTGGAGATTTTGGCCCTACTAAATATGAGTCATGTGAATTTTGTAGACATGTGGATTTCATCTCATCAGTTTGTCCAATTGTACATAAGAGATATTATATATGTACACAATAAACATTTCCCTTACTGCACTACGGTTTTGGGATTCTGTTGACATTTCCATCAATAAGATCTGAGAGAATCGTCTATTGATAGGTTGAGTGATATGAAGCTACTGCCAACAATTATGAAGCAACAGGAAGTGCATCAACTAAACGTTGCTTGTAGGCCAAGGAAGGTCTTGTTTGTTCTCTTGTTTATTTTCCATGAAAGCACTTCTGCTATGCTATAGATTGCCATGAAAGAATCGTCTACACTTGGTCAGTACGGTTTTCTCTAGTTTAACGTTCTTTTTACTGTTTTCATTTGCTATTCCGGTCTTTACTATAGATAGAGCATGCTCATAGTTGGCTTTCAATTTATTGCAATCCAACAATGACGATGACGATGAAACCATTAGCAAGCGGTTTGTTCACAAGCAGAAGCCAACATCAGTTTCAGAGTTGAAATCGAGGTAAGAACATACCTTAAGATATCAGCCGATAGGAGCAATTTGTGCCCATTCGGTTAACTATATAAAGCATCTTTCTATTATCACTGTTTATGTCGTTGTTTCAGTGGCTTCCCAAATAATCTCAACCCACCAGTTATCTGTGAATGGTATTCTTTGGTTCTCTCTTCAGTTTAGTAATGTCTTGTGTGTTATGGTTGCGTGTGGTGATGTGGTCGGTGGCGCCCTTGAATAAACATGGAATCTACTCACGCGTCCTTGGCCCACCAAGCCTTTTACCCTCCGGGGTCCTTTATAAGCTGAACAAAACCTTCCTCCAATCATCAGCCATGCATGGCCAACGTACGCTACTGGAAGAAATAGAAACAGGCATAACCCAGCTGATCCAAAATGAAGAGAATGTCCACAATCAGTGCATATGTTAAGAAGTACTGTCGAAGTTACCTTTCGACACCCAACGCAAGGTGTGCAAAATGAAAGTCACTTCATCCGACAAACTATTCAAAATGCACCAGTTACCAAAATATTTTGATGAGGTTATCACAAACGAGGAATTGATGGCGCGGCAGACTATTTCACCAATTCAGGTCGATGCAACTAGCTTTGACAGCATAGTCGGCCACAAGCTGCTCTAATGCGATGAGTAGAGGACACCACAGGGAAGGTATCAGTATGTCAGAATTCATAAACTTTATATGTGCATCCTCATCGCATAGTACATTGCAGTGTAACGGATCCTTATGCCGTTGATGCCAGAAACGACACCATACATAGTACTGTTTCTACTCATCATCAGATGAAATCACGTCCGTAAAACCTTCAAGAAATGCGGTACGTAAAAACGGCGTAAAGAGCAGCAAAAAAAAAGGAAGGGGACATAGGGTGCCTACCACTACTTATAAAATGAATTCACTCAGTCACAAAACGAAATCATTTGATTTCCACAGCCGAAACAATCGAGTCAACGTTCATACCTAAGGGTGAAACGACTAATGAATCCAACAACGTTTAGTGGTAACGACGGGCCCCCCAGCCATGGAAGTGGCAGGCCCACACCAGTTATGGTCGTTGCGGCGGCTGAGAGAGATAGTGCGGTGGGCGCAAACGGGCAAAGTGTATAACACTGGGGGAGCAAAGTACAGCTGACCTGGGCCGTAGCCGCGAGTTCTTACATGATCACCGTCAAACCGGATCAATAGATCACATGAGCAACCAGATAAGGAGGAGGCAATCAACAAGAATGTACTAAGACCAATGCACATCAATGAATTGCTCAATAAGGAGTGATACCAGTAATGGGCTAGTGGGTACGGATCAGCCGACGTTAGTTGCAATGACGTTATGCCCACTCCTAGAGGTTTTGCGCCAGCAAGTGTAACCATAGGTGATTATATGATATGTGAACTTGGGTCAGCGGGGTCGTAGTGCAAGAATATGCTGCGCAGACCAGCGGCCTTACACGCCACAGAGTGTGTAATGGGTGGAAGGATGGTTACGTTCCCACCAGTGGCGGATCAGGCACTATCGTGTGTTGCACTCTTGGAACTTGCACTCGAAACTCACGATCTCTTAATTGGCTCGCGTTGCGCGGTCAGCAGGACGAGGCTTGTCCATGCGCGTTATGCCTGATCCGCCACTGGTGGGAACGTAACCATCCTTCCACCCATTACACACGCTGTGGAGTGTAAGGCTGCTGGCCGGCACAGCATATTCTTGCACTACGACCCCGCTGACCCAAGTTCACATATCATATAATCACCTATGGTTGCACCTGCCTGTGCAAAACTTCTAGGAGTGGGCATAGCGTCATTGCAACTAACGTCGGCTGATCCGAACCCACTAGCCAATTACTGGCATCACTCCTTATTGAGCAATCCGTTGATGTGTATTGATTGTGTCGTTGTGCATTGGTCTTAGTACATTCTTGTTGATTGCCTCCTCCTTATCTGGTTGCTCATGTGATCTATTGATCCGGTCTGACGATGATCATGTAAGACCTCGTGGCTACGGCCCATGTCAGCTGTACTTTGCTCTCCCAGTGTTATACACTCTGCCCGTCTGCGCCCAGCGCACTATCTCTCTCAGCTGCCGCACCGACCATAACTGGTGTGGGCCTGCCACTTCTATGGCTGTCTAGTTACTGTATTGTGATGTAGTAATTATTGTAATTACGGTTGTATGAATGTTATGGTAGTATTCGAATACTGTTGTTCCTATTAGTCTCACCTTAGTACTAGTTGCAGCGTCTCATAACCTTTGACTTGCATTATATTGTGCCTCTATTTTGTTATCGTTATTATTACGTTATTGTCGTGTTAATAATGTTGCTATCATGTGCATGAACGGTTTGGTGACCTAAGCTTGAAGCTGGTCAATCGTTGCAAACCAAGAGATCCCAAGTGAGAGAACTACAAACACACACACACACACACACACACACACAGGGAAGTTCGGGGAAAGTCGGTTTCGAAATATTACTACGCTTTGGGCTAGGTGATAAAACACCGACTTCTGCACGATGTCCGCAATGATGTATGTCCGGAAGAAATACAGGTTGTTACCACCGGACATTATCATTGTATATCCACCATCAGCATCGTGTATAAAAGGGGATGCCACTGAGTGAGAATGCCTCATTCGAGAAGATGGATCACTGAGGAAGACCTGGCTGGACACGAAGGCGAAGCTGCAACGTCGAGACGAACAACAATCATGGACCATCGACTCGGATCATCGGCTCTGAGGAAGACGAAGACGTCGAAGCGTTATCCGAAAATAAATATATTTATCAACCTCGTGCAAGCTTATCAAGAAAGAATGCATATTGATTAGTCACACCGAGGTTCAGGGAAAGTCGGTTTCGAAATATAACGGTGATTGTTGGGACCCATTCAATCCGTTTTTGGTGCGAGTAGTTCTATTGTAGAATTGAATTTGAGAATATATCTTGCTGTGTCAACAACTTTTCACGAAGTTCTTGGAACAACTTTCTCTTGTCACTTGAATAATAATTAGAACAGTTCGAATCAAGTATCCAGAACAGTTGTTTTCTGTAGGATATTACTCATAACTCCTCCTGGATACGAAAATTTTTGAGTACTTCACTGTACTTCTGTAGTATGAGAAATACCGAACTACATTCAATTTAAGCTTCATAATCCTCCTAAATGCTAACAGTAATGTGTTTCTCTATGTGATAAATCACTTGTCCTTCCAGTTATCACCAGTTCAGTTGATTATTCGTGATGAGGTCCAACGAAAATTTCTATTTAGAGTCCATTTCTTATACTGATGTAGCAGAGAGCACATATTTACACATAGACAATCCGCATCTATGCGGCGCTACATCACGGTATTTCAAGCGTATTCCAGAAATTCCCAAAAATTCATAATCGTTCCAGATTTACTCGGTTAAATTCATCCTATTCATGGTTCACTAAACACGCATATGAAGAGCATCATGTAGAAAATCCCAAAATTTCCTTCGTTTGCGTTCACCTGCATAGCGAGCAGTGGTGTTCAGCATTCACAGCGTTCATCTTTTCTGTGGGTGTTGGGAAAGTGCTGAACAAAATTGTGATCTTTAATATTAACTCCACCTTATTCATTCTTTTCCTGATCGCATCGAATCGAATCTGATCGAAGACCCATATCGGATGAAGAGAAAACTGTATACAATCAACTTAGATCAATCCGGCTCTGCAGAAGGTGAAGACGTCGAAACAGCCGAATAATGTTTTTTCGTCAACCTCCTATTAGTCTGTTCATGGAGGAATTCGTAGTCATCTCGACCTTAAAGGAAAGCTGGTTTTTCATACATGGAGGAAGATATGTCATTTCGCCGGTTCTTTGTTTTGACAACTGACTTGCTATTTCTTGAGCGAAAATGCTAGCAACTTCCCAAAAAACCATCAGCTAGCGCTCGTTAAAACATCGGCTTTGCTCTTCACACGTTAAATGTTAGAATGCAAGGCTCCTATTCAATGGAGCATCAGCACTGTCGTGTTGTACAAAAAAGAAGAGTTCACGATTTTAGTAACTGTCACTCAAAGGGTCTCTGTCTACTGTCTTAAAGGGTTTACTGAACAAAATACTTAACCAAATTCAATTCTATAATAGAATTGTTGGCACCAGAAACGAAGTGAATAGTTCGCAGCGATCACTGTGGTCTCATCGGTTACTACCTCGTGAACAGTGATACATCTCGGAAATATTCTGCTGGTACTTCACGTAGCACTTCCATG